ACTGGGCCACGGGGCCAGCCCCCCACCTCTCTGTTTTTGCAGTAAGTCCTGAGAGTGTGATTTTATCAGGAAAAATGTATCTTTAATCACTTTGCTTTACTACAGAATACATAAATCATTTAAACCTCTTGAGTTCACAGGATCTTCAGTTGCTGCAATGACTTGGTGCTTTTGCCTTACATGTTCATGTTGCTTCAGAAGGTGACTGATGCGCAATCAAAACCTTCAAGAAGAGGCCAGGTTTAACTGACTCCCTTGTGGCTCTCCCTGTGATGAGCTTTGCAGGGAGGGTAAGTCGGAGGCATTTGTTGTCGTTTGTAACGTGCGCTATGCTTTGGCAGTAACTAATGCTGAGCAGGCCCGCCAGTCTGTAGTTTATACGCTGTAAACTGAGAGCTCGAAAAATACTTCCCTGAATGGTAAGGCATTGGAGCCAGCGTTCCCTGAAGTTGAGAAGAAAAAAGGGTTTGAAAGGCTCACCAAAGAAAAGAAAAAGCACTTGGGTTTTATAATAAGATGCTAAATCTGATAATCTCAAACCATCCGAAGGTTGTGATAAAAAGGTTGTGATAAAAATCAGGATACAGAAGTCTATAATCTAAAAAAAAAAAAAGAATTTAAGCATGTAAACTTTCAGATACAGCATCTGTTCGTTACTGATCCTGAAAAGATTAGCTAAACGACAGTGACAAAGCAGAGGGCAAGGGTCCATGTTTTCAGGCTGAGGATGATGAGGAAAGATAGCCGGAGAAGTTCCTTAGCTCTCAAAAGATCTGTCTCGGGATGCAATGTCTTACAGCTCTGCTGCCAGCCAGCCACTCAGTCCACTCTCCGTGGGTCTGTCTCCTGCTTCTGCAAGGAGCCTATTTATTCATCCCTTCTTTTGCCTTTACTTTGCCCCATCCCCATGCCTCTCTTGCCCTTTCTCCATATCTCATCCATTTTTCCCTGTGCAGTGAGGCCAAAACCAAGTCCAACATGATGCTAGATCTTTCTGTCTTTCCTGTCTCTGGCTCCTTTGAGTTTGTTGTTTGCGTAATTTGGTAAGTTAACTCTTTGATAAATTTATAGATTGTTAAGGTTGTGAGAAATTTTGAATTTTTTTTTTCCCCCTCAAACTATTCCCAAGGCAAGAATCGCTTTACTAACTCAAGGCTTACAGCCTGCGAGTTCCTTTAGAGTCTGGGGTATTCAAGAGTCTGGAGACTTGGGTTCTCCTGTCTGGCTCTTAGGGCTTTCAGAGATTGCTGTATTTTTCTCCAATAAAGAGAACAGAGAGATGCTGATGAGCATTGCATGTCCTTGACATCTGCTGTTTTATCCTATTTTGCCCAAGCAATAGTTTGGACCCTGCCTTGATCATTTTTTCTTGCTCTCAAAATAACTAAACCACCTGCTTTGTTCTTGGCCTTTTTTTTTTTGAAAGCCTTTGTTCATTTTAGACGTGAGTCTTCTTGTGACGTATAAATTTCTCCTGTGTTTTTGTGTACATCTTTACTAGGTATTATAAAGCTTATAAAATGGGAGATGAGGTGGAAGTCCACCAAGCATTGCCTCCTGGGCTCAACAGAGCAGAAGGGAGCTGAGTTAAATTGCAGCCGAGAAGTCCTAGCCTCCTTAAGATCCTTTAGAAAATCTCAGTTGAGTGTGTAAACTGCCAAGAACAGTGCCTGGCATGTAGTAGGCCATTAATGGAAGCTATCCTATTGGGCCTATGTGGCTGCTGAGAAAGATCCCACTTTGAAGAAGTTTATAAACTAAGAGTTTATCTCCAAATGAATTGAACCTCAAGATTTTCATATCCTGGGACTTCTATACACTTAGACCAGCCAAGGAATACATGGGGACCTTCTGGTCACAGAGCATTACAACTGGCAAGAAACAGATCTCAGCATCCAAAATGTTACCTAGAAGGAAATTGAGGCCTAGGGAAGTTGGTGAGCATCCCCAGGCCGTACTGTTTATGTTGACACATTGGGACCAGGGTGCAAGTCTAACTGACTAGGCCATTGATTATGCCATTACTAGAGTATTTGTATTCATGGCTAATAAATGTTTTACTGCTTACTCAGCACTATACGCCAAACGTTTAGACAGCACTAACCTCAAATTTCTTTTATTTCCTTCATCTCCCAAACTTGTTTCTTCTATGCAAGAAAATGCTTTACTTTTCACTTTTGTACCAATTCCCATGTTTTTAGAGCCTGAAGCATATGTGAATCCCATTCCATCTTTCCTTTCCCACTCCTTGTAGCCTAGGATATATTGATCGTCTTTTCTTTCTTTTTTCATTTCCTGCCTTCCTAGGTTGATTTTATGATTTCAGCAGTCCTTTTCATGTCCTGTTAGTAAGTTCAAAATCCAGGAGTCCCCCTGGCAGTACAAACACATCGAGCATTTTCTTTTGAGTAAAAGTTACGCGTGACATGCAAGTATTCTTAAGACTTGTGTTCCTTTCTTTAGAAGGATGTGAATTTTTCCCGATCATTCTTATGGGCATGGATTGTCTGAATGTCTTTTTTTCCCAAAAGAGCTATGAGACATTTAGTGTAATTGGAAACTAGATCCCCAATTCGAAGGATTTTGGAGGGATCTGAAAGTCACCTTCTCTGACTCTGAGGATTGCCTAGGACCTCAGGAACAGTGAGATTCTTTCTAGGTTCAGGAAGTTAGGAATCTTCTACCATTTATGATTGGCACAAAGTAAAGGGAATCCAATTATATCTTTGTTTTTTTCTAGAGAAAAAGTTACTTTCTGCTCTAGGGAAAATAGAAAAGTCAAGGTTTAAAATAGATGACAGTATTTGCCGATGAGGCTAGAGAATTAGAAGTTTGTAAAATCTTTGTTTGCTGGGTGAAAAAAGGGAAAAAACGGGGGGAGAGTAGAAGAAAGTACATTAGGTTGTAATAACAAGAGTAGGTAGCATTTGGAGAGTATCGATGTGTTGGGCACTGTGTAAATCAGTTTCCATTTCTCATCTCAGTTATTCTAGCGCTCCTGTGAAACTCTCACTCTTATCTTTATTTCATAGGTGAGGAACTCATGATGCACAGAGAGTTTAAATGGCTTGCCCGAGGTCACACAGGTAATAAATGGCAGATCAGCGATTTTAACCTGGCAATGTGGTCCAGAGCTCCCGCTCTCAGCTACAAGGATACACTGCCCTATATTGAGTCATTTTGAGACATTCCCTCCTTTGAGTACAGCTTCCCACAATATATATGAAGCACAGGAGAAGTGGCAGTTTCAGCTTTTTTTCTTGTTGTTGTTTGTATATTTAAGAGCAGGGTTAAAAAAAGGCAGTATGCGGTCTAAATCAAGTTGAATTAGACCTGTGTGGAAAACATAACAATCATCCATGCCAAATTTCCAATGTTTTTCTTTTTGCTTATTCAATTATTAATAGTCCCTGGTACACATATTCTTTTATTTATTTTCTAAGTGAAGTAAGAAGCTAACATATGATTCTAAGGTGTTGCCTAGTTCTTTAAGAATCTTGATCTGAAAGGAACATTTTCTCTAAAAACAAAAAATCCATTTTTGTTTGTGGGACGCATCTTATTTTGGAGATTGTGGTGGTACCAGGTGCAGAATCTTGGTGGCACAGTAAACTTTGCCTTCCCTTCCTTGAACTGATAGACCAGGATGGGGGTGGTGGTGACGGTGGTGGATGGAGTGTCCGGGTCTATATATCCAGATCTGTGCAGCAGCCGCACAAAAGCCCCTTCCTTAGGTCCCAGATGTCCCAATTTGCCCCTAGCTTCCTGAAATTGAGGTTTTAGAAGAAACTTGAGATCTCCTCGAGCTAGGTTATTCAAATGTGATTTTTTAAAATACAATTCTCCTTTATTTTGTAGAGGAAACGATGATGATGGATATCTCCCCCTTTCCAAATATTAAAAGAGTGTTCTTATATTGCTTTTATAATTCCATTGGAAAATCCATCAATGATAGTTTTCAATATTTTCTTCATTACTATAACATTCTTTCTTATCCAAGCCATAGGAAGGGTCATAGAAATATAATAAAATATTATTATTTATTAGGGCTAGAGCCTTGATATTATAAATGATGTAAAAATAAAGTTTATTAAGTTTTCTCCCACATCTAAAATAGTATAGTAATTACAGAAAATTTGGAAAAGTCAGAGAAATAGAAGCAAGGAAAAGCAAACTCCAGTAGTCCCTATACTCAAGTGAAAGTTACTGTTTCCGTGCATTTTCTTTATCTGTGAAGAGTTTTTGTTTATAGTTCTTGGTTATGATCGTTCTGTGCATTTGATTTTGTTTCCTGCTCTGTTGGAAATATGTTCCAGGTTTAGAGACAGCTGGCTCAGGACTTCTTTGCTGACCCTACGCTGTCGCAGGTCAGCTTGGCAGACCTCTGGCTGGCGCCCTGGTTCAGGGGGTGCTCCCTGGGCACATACCGAGTGCTCCACATTACTTAGTGTTGGGCAGCAGAGCGCTCAGGTCCTGCCTTTGGATCTCATGGAATCGCTGGAGAAGACAAGCAGGTGTTCTCATGGCTACTTTTGTTATATTTTTTTGATATGGAAAATTTCAAACATACACAGAAGTAGAGAAAATACAATAATGGGCCCTATCTGCCTTTCTCCCAGCTTCAACAATGATCGGTTTATAGCCAGTCTTGCTTCATTTTAGACCCCAACCTCCTCTCCCACAACCTGGATTATTTCGAAGCAAATCCTTGACATCCTGTTTTTTTTCTTTTTTAATATGATTGTCCCAATGGCTTTTTTTTTTTTGAGGAAGATTGGCCCTGAGCGAACATCTGTTACCATCTTCCTCTTTTTTTTTTTCCCCTCCCCAAAAGGGAGCTGTATATCCTAGTTGTAAGTCATTCTAGTTCTTCCATGTGGGATGCCACCACAGCATGGCTTGATGAACGGTGTGTAGGTCTGCGCCCAGGATCCGAGCTGGTGAACCCCCGGCCACCAAAGCAGAGCTCCTGAACTTAACCACTTGGCCACAGGCCCAGCCCCCTATCATTTCATTAGTAAGTATTTCCTTACACGTCTCTGAAAGATAAAGATTCCTTTTTCATGTAGTGTGATATCATTATCATACTTTAAGACCTTCTCTAATATAATTGAATATGGGATATCTAGTCAATGTTCAAATTTATCTATTTTCCTCATTTTCCTTTTTTGTTTGTTTGTATCATGATTCAGATAAAGTCCACACATTGCAGTTGGTTGACACACCTCTTTTGATCCCTTTTAATCTATAGGTTCACTCTTCACTGTCTTTTCCTTGCAATTTATTTTTTGCTAAACCGGACCATTTATTCTGCAAAGTTTCCCACAGGCTGGATTTTGCTGATTACATCCCACAGAGTTAAATGTTAAATATTCCTCTGTTTAACATATTGCTCTAGCCACTGTGTGTCTTGTGAACTGGTAGTTACATCTAGAGGCTGAATCAAATTCTCTTTCCATACTTTGTCAAGAATACTGTATGATGTGCTGTGTACTCCCACCAGGAGGCACTTAAATTAACGTCGGTTCCCTGTGTGTGTGTGTGTGAGAGAGAGAGAGAGGGAGAGAGAGATGTTGACAGTTGGTGATTGTTGCTGCTTAAATCCAGCAATTCATTAGAGGTTTCACAATCTTGTTTCAGTCATTTCTTTGTTTGTTATCTAGAATATTTTTATAAAGAGAAACTCCTGCTCATCCGCTATTTGGTTATCCTGAGGTACAGTTTATATAGAGAAGGCAGGAAAAATACCTGATTCTTTCCCTTTATTTACCAATTTTCAAAATAATTAGTGGGCGCCATTAACCAGCTAATTAATAATATTCTCCAAAGATAACCATTGAAACAGAGACAGACAGAGATGGGAGGGGATGGAGGGAGAGGTGTGTGCTTCATTAGGAATTCATGAATTTAAAAATATTGGTGTTTCAATCCATTGCATTCGTTCCCGCTGGTCAAAGATGAGACAGTAGTAAAATTGTCCCGTCTTTGGCCAGTGGGAGCCCCTTCGTGCTGGCTCCTAATCCTTCTGATATGGTTCTAGTGGTCTTTGACAGCTTTCCCATTTTCTGTATGTTAGGATATTCTAGTCTGGAAGTGTGGTCTGAGGATGCCTGGGGGGGGGGGGTCCCTGAAATCCTATTATAGGGGGTCTATGAAGTCAAAACAACTTTCATAACAGTACTAAGACATTATTTACCTTTTTTATTTTCTCCAGAGACCAGATGTTGGCTATTAGAATGTGTACCTGGATATTCTTGTGGTTTCTAAGGTAAACTCTTTGGAGTCTTCAATAATTCCTAAGAATGTAAAGGGATCCTAAGACCGAAAAGCTTGAGAGCTGCCGTTCTAGGCTCATCTTTTACAGTTCTGGCCGCATACATGGAATCACTGGTGACCTTATAAGTTAGCTCCCTTAGTTTTCAATTCTCCTTTTTTGTGTGAGTCATCTGCTCTGAGTCCCACAGCTAATGAGTAGCAAAACCAGAATTTGAACCTAGATATTTATGCAGTAGTTTTTTTTTTCCCCCCATAAAACAATCACTCCTGTCCAAACATTTATGATTAATTGAAGCTTAGAAGCTGTAAACAATGCCCGCTACGTGAGACATGTACATTTCAGGGGCCACCAAGTAAAATTAGCAGTTCTTCTTTTCAAATGGAATGGCCATCAAAAAGGGAGAAACAGATGTAGAGGCAGGATGAGTGGTTGCTATAGCTTCATGGTATAATGAAAAACAATGCTCCGAATATGTTGTTTTTCTGGTCACGGAAGAGAAATTCAAGATGCAGTGGTAGTTCATTAGAGTGTTAACTTTCGCAGATTTCCACCATCGGGAGAAAAGCTTCCTTGGCATGGATTTCAGTAATGGCTCATGCATTGTTCACTCCTTTCTGAACCCAGGATCCAACTGATTGCTTGACCACATAGCTTAGAAACACTTTTCTTCATCTTGTACTTAGTTGCAATCCTGCAAGAAAGCATCCTGAATTTTCAAAGCTGAATAATGATGCCGTAAGCCTGGGACTCTGATTTTTCTATCACTGAATAGTACACAAACATCTAAAAGATGGCTACTTAAAACTGGCTTTTGCTGTTCTGGGTCCTGGGCTGGGGGGTGTCTTTATTTTGTCTCATTCTGTTGAGCTAAACTCGGTCGCTCATTATTTCTTTCTCCTTTCCCAATAACTGTAGTTTCTCCTGGGTAACAAATAAAATTAACTCATATTTCTCAGGCACATGGAAGAGATTCTATCATATGAAAAGGAAATGTGCTTCCAAAACAGCTATCAGTGGCTTTCTGAAGTCATGTACGTACAGGAGAGAAGCAGCCTTACGTAATGTCCTTGAGTATTTACCAACATAAGAGGCACCTGACAGTGTCAGGTGCCATCTGGAGAAGTGTCATCACATAGGAAGCTTGGATCAGAGCCCACATCACTGTTGAGGTGCTTCCTCATTACGTTGTGGTTCAGATGGGGAGTGAGGCAAAGAGTATGTCAAGGGTTTCAGGGCTCTTAGTATAATATAGATTTCTTTGTTGGAAGGTAGATGTTAAATGCTAAATAAGTTTTTGTGTTTATGAGCAAATTCATTTTTTGCTAGAGCCTTGTTGGTTATTTTTCTCAACATTGAATCTGTCGTAGTGAAATGATTTAAATGTTTGCTTTAGGTGACCTGTTGCATTCAGATTTATGTATTTGGAAAGTCAGATGCTTGGGTTTTTCTAGCAAATCATCTCATTGACTTTGCTGAAGATAGTTTTAGAATACGTGACAGTCAGCTTATGAAGTGGAAGGTAGTCTTTCATGGGGATGGGTGCTACCATTGGTCATATCCAAATTTTACCTTCTTTCATATTTGTCCCCTGGACCAGATTGCACAGATTTTTAAGTTTCATGTTAAATTCACTGAACAGACCCATCTGCATGTGGAGAGCATGTGGTATATGACGATGCGAGCCTTGAACTTATGGCTGGAGAATGCCAGGAATTTGAGGTTCTGGTGTCACTGAGGAAAATGGCCCCGCCTTTCTGTGCTTTGGTTTCCTGTTTAGAAAGTTCTGCTCCTTCATAAGGACCTTGAAGTACGAAGAGGAAAGGTGCTTGGTGTGTGGAGTTTTCCATCAGATGCAGTCCTAACTAAAGGCTGGGTTGAAGGTAGGTGAATGCTTTGTAAGAGCATATTTTACATATAGATGAAATATTTATTAGTTTATGCCACACTTATTTATTCACTTAAGTATGAAGTAGCCCCAGGCAGCTTGAATTCAGATTTAAAATTCAGGTTTTGTTTACTTAATTCTCTTTTTCTCTCACGAGGAAAGAATATAGGCTGGGGAAGTGGAAATTGGGATTGATTTTAATTGCCTGAACAGGTTTACTGGAGAAAATGTTTTATTGAAATGAAAATGACAGCCAGACTATTTTTTTTTCTTGCTCTGTGTTTAATTACAGGTGACTTTAGAGTAGTCCATAAATCTCTTTTTCAAGTCTAAGTGAGGCTTTCTATTGTGAAGTGGGCTATAACTTAATGAGTCTTTCTGATGTCTGCCTTGGCTAAAAATCTCTATGGAGAGAACTCAGAATTCCAGGAATCCATTTGGAGGTGGAATCAATTATAAGGATAATTCCCAAGGGGAAATCAGGCTATTTTAGAATCTCCCAGTGCGCTTTTGAAACTGAAGACTTCTGTGCCATTCCCCCAAATCTCAGTGGGCCCCTGATGGGAGTGGTTGTGTTTTTTTTTTAATCTTTCAGGTGTTTTAGAGTTAAAACACAGCTGAAGTTAAGGCTGATGTGGAGATTGGGGTTAGCTTATGAGAATAGCGTTTCTCTCTGGAGAGTGCCACTCTTGCTGGAAAAGATAAATAGTAGCATTGAGTGATCTGTAATTCATTCAGTGGCAGTCACTATTGCTGAAGATTTAGGACCATCTCGTGTACAGATTTGTGGTACTTTGGTTTGGTTCTAAGTGCCAGTATTTTATGTGATGGCATTTTTCATAAAGAACGTGGATGCTTTGAAGCCCAGGAACAGAAACCCATAGGACTGGAAAACCACTGCTTAGCGGAGGGTCAGCGCCAAGCTGGAGTGAGTTCTCAAAGAGTCTGTGACATTGTGGCTGTGTTCCTCAGTTGGTGGGGTTGGGCTTGTTGGATTTCTTTTTCATTAAGGGAGAAAAACATTTTGATGCATTTGATTGTGCTACATGGTACTGTGGAACCTGACATTTTAGGCTTAGGTCTGGGAAAGAAATGTGTTTTACTTATTTATTGTATAGTTTTGTATAAATTTTCTATCTCTTACTTTGAGAAGCAAGTAGGAAAATGAAAAAGCAAAGAACCCAAGTGATCTGTAAAAGAGGTTAAGAGGAAAACGTCTCTAGGAAATTAAATAAGTTATGAAGATGTATGTTTAAGTTTTAGAACATCAAATATTAAAACCCAGTGATCAAGAATTCTCTACTTATGGAACTATTTGAAATTTCATCTTTTTCCTTGCTGCCTTCACTTGATGTCTTATAAAGTTTTATAGTCGTGTATGTCTTATAAAGTTTTATAGTCGTGTGAAGTTGTTCTGAAGTCAAAACAAAACAAATTAACTAGAAATGACTTAGCTATCAGCCAGTCTGCCCTGTGTATTTTGCTAAAGAATCTAGTAACTCTTGATGAAAGTTCTGTCTTCGTCTCCATGTTCGCCATGTTTAGCACTGGGTTTAACACATTATACATACTGCTTGGTTGGCAGGCTGACTGGGGTAGTATTTACTGAAAAAAAAAAAAAAAAAAAAACCTCAAAATTAACCTTTTGGCCACAGTATATTGTAAGAAAATCTTGGTGGAAAGTTTGAGAAGTATGGTGGAGAGTGTTAGAACAATCCTTCTCTTTGGGATTTAAAAACTTTGCCATTCTTCCATGAATTGTTAGATCCTAATGTCTACTATTCTAAAATGTTCTGTGTGAAATGTTCTCTATGTATAAGAACTTCTCAAGCTGGTCTGTTTCACCTTGACTTTGGGAGTATTAGTTAATTACGGTTTGAGAGACAACAGAAGAATGAATGAGTGGGGATCATTGTTGCCAATAGATGCTGTTCTCCATATGCCAAAAGTTAAATAAAACATGGATTTTAAAGTTCCATCAAACAATAGCTTGGCAATTTAATAACATTCAATGATTTCTTAGCAACCTAAAGTAGTTTATCCTATTAGGTACATGACCACACTTGGAAAGCTGAGAATTTTAACTTGAACCATTTTCTTTTCTTGGAGTGAGTTATGGCTACTTCCCATGGATGTGAAGTGTAAGGTCTTGTCATTTTGTTCATGTGGGGCTCAGACAAATTTGTTTCTGAATTTCCTGTCCTATCCTCCTGTCTGGCTTCAAGCCTTGGGTGCTGGTGCTGGCTCCATGGGCAGGACTCTGGAGTGGAAAGAGCCAGGTTTACAGTGAGCCAGGCTGGCACATGTGGTTCTTGTTTGGGGAAAGGCTGCCAAGAGTGTGTCCAATTCTGGAGAATCTGTCCATTCTTGGTTTATTTGGGAACTTTAAGATGGCATGACAATGACTTGGGTTTCAAGAAACCCTGCTTTATGATATAAAAAGTGGTTTATCTGTGAGATCTCTTTTTGAGATGTTCTATGTCAAAAGAATGTGAATAGGCTGGAGCATTGCAGGAATAATTACTTTTGTTCCTAAAATCTTCAGATTTAAAGGAAAGAACCCAAATATCTTGTGTATTTCATCCATTTCTTCCACAGATGTTTATGGAGCACTTCTAATGTGCTAGGCACTGTTTTGGTTACTGGAGAACAAGGATACAATTCCTTGCCCTCACAGAATTTTTAGAGGGGGAGAGAGGCTTATAAATAAGTTAAATATGTCAGATGGTGATGTGAGCTGTGGAGAAAATTAAAATAGGAAAGGAAAAGAGGAACAGTGTTGAGGGATAAAGGGACCATCTTAGGACCTGGGGTCTTGCACCACTTATGGTGACTGAGTGGTCCACAGGCATGAAATAGCACAGTCCTTTACTGACTGTGCTGTGATAGTCACCACCAGCATCACCACTGTCACAGTTGGAAAACATTTACCCCACACCTGTTAGCGAGGTTGTGTATAGAATGAGTCATACAGCTGAGTGTCTGTCCTCAAGTCTGACAGCTCTCATGTGGACACATGCAGAGGACTTCCTGATGACAAAATCAAATGACTGTATTCATTCAGCAGATGTTTATTGAATGATGATTTATACAAGACATTGTGGGGGATATCAAGATAAATCACATATATACCTTGCCAAAAGAGCCTCTAGTCTAGTCTAGTAGATAGTGTATTACTATATAGAGTAATAGTAGCGGATATTTACGTATAGTAGATCATTTGCATGCCAGTGATTTAACATGTGGGATAGACCCTGAGAGGTCCATGACATAGCTGATTTCTCATTTTGCTGAGGAGTGGTTTTCAGTTGGATGCTTTGGGAGGCATGTGTGGGGTAACCAACTTAGGAGTGTGTTAGCCGATTGCCCGGTGTCCACATTCCTGCTGTAGTGTGTTTCTATCCATTGCTTAATGTGTAAAATGCCTTTGAAGTGAAATATGCTTTCTTTGTGAAAGATTGCTCTGAGAAGAAAGCCAACTTCTAGTGCCAGTGATGAAAGTGCCGAGTCTAAGATGTGATGGTTTTTTCTCCAGAAAGTGGAATCATTGAGGGTCTCAGGAAAATACTTCGCATTTTACTCCCTTTGTGAGGGAAATCGGGTAGTGTAGTGGCTAAGATTCTGTGCTCTCACCGCTGTGACGCAGGTTCGTTTCCCAGTCAGGGAATCACACCACCCGTCTGTCAGTTGTCATACTGTGGGGGCTGCATGTTGCTGTGATGCTGAAAGCTATGCCACTAGTATTTCAAAAACCAGCAGGTGGACAGGTTTCAGTAGAGCTTCCAGACTAAGACTAGGAAGAAGGACCTGGCCACCCACTTACAAAACAATTGGCCATGAAAACCCTGTGAATAGCAGCAGAACATTGTCTGATACAGTGCCGGGAGGTGAGAGGATGGTGCAAAAAGACCAGGCAGGGTTCCGCTCTGCTCTACACAGGGTTGCTAGGAGTCGGAATTGAGTTGATGGCACTAACAAAAAAATGAGGGAAATCATATGCTGCACTATAATTTGCCATCTTGGAAATGAACTCCTCATAGACGTATATTTGGATGAATCCTGATAAAGTCCCTAAGGGAAGTGTGGACATGGGAGAATTTATCTGCCTTGTCTGAAGGTGACTTTCTTGGACGAAGCTAAGCAAAGCTTCCTCATGAGCTGCTTCCTCTGGGCCCTAAAATCGGGTTATTCCCTTTCTGTCAGAAATAAACAGTCAGCCATCTTTGTGTGAGGGTCCTTGGCATTTATTGTATAAATGGGATCAAAAATTTACTATGTAGAAATACAGTTGTACACACACACACACACACACACACACACACACACAGAAACACAGCAAGAGAAAGCTTGGAAGAGGAATGAAAAGCCGTAAAATACAGTGGCAGAGGCTGTTGGCAACCCAGCCAAATCCCTGAGCCCTCAGCAAGAATGTTTTTCCAGCCTCCCTTGCACTTAGGTGTGGCCGTGTGACTGAGTTCTAGCCAATAGAATGACCATGGTGAAGAAACACAGCCCATCAGCCTGAATCCCTGTTTCAGTGTGAGGAAGAGGAATACCTTATTCACCCATTCCCTATCATGGGAGTCAGACACAAAGTTCTAAGGTGTTTGAGCCATTATGTATTTTTTGGGTCTATTTCAGCAGTAATTAGTCTCCCCTAACTGATACCGATACTATATGTGGTAAATGAGAGGCAAAGACTACAGTTTCAGAGCCCTAGTCTTACTTCTTTGGGGATGCTGGCCCCCGTTGTTTCCACCTGAATAGCAGAATCAGCGCTCGGGGGTGAGGGTAGCTATTGTGCCTGCTGACTCAGGCCATGTGTGTGTTTATTACTGCACTCACCATGCATTGCTTACGGGTATCTGCACTCTTTCTTGTACCCTCAATGGTTGAGGGCAGAGTCCAGAGAGTGCCAGCCGACCCCTGATTTTTCTCCTTCCTTTTCTCTTCTCCTCAAATATTTTAGTGCTGACCCTGTGCTAGGTGCTACCA